GTACGATCTGTGCCCCTGAAGGCCGTCTTGTGGGCCCTCTTGTCCTCTCTGGGCGTCTTGGGGCCTCCCGGGCGGGGGGGATCGGGGGAGGGGGCGGGAGTGGAGATCGGGGGAACGGGAGCAGCGGAACTGCGATCAGGAGGCGGCAGGGGCGGGAGGGTGCAGTTCCAAGGGGAGGGGTGGAAGGGGACGTGAGAGGGAAAATGGGGGGCATCGGCTTTTGGAGAAAATTGGGCCCCACATCGAGCCGCATCGCCGATGCATCCGCGATGCATCGGCGATGCGGCGCGGTTCTCTGACCCCGTCTTCGCCGACCCCATCTAGGAGGCCCAGAGATCGTGTCCTCGTCGCGGAACTCCCAGGGATCGGTCTGCCGCGGCAGGCTGGCGCGCTGCCCCCGAAGAGGGGCCTCCACCGCGCGCGCGATGGGGCGCGGCGGCCGTGAGCCTTGCACGGGCTCTCCATCCTGGCTTCTCACGGGCCCAGGGCCCGGACGCGGCTTATTCGATGCGCCCACGCAACAAGAGGCGTCTAGCATGCACTCGCTTCTGCCAGAACGCGGGCTGCAATAGACCTTGGTATCCTCTCATCTCATTCTCCATCCTTCGCCGAATTCTTCGCGCATGACTTTCTGTATCTGCCACTGCATCGTCTAGGCGCCAGCCTTCACTGGCGGGAGGAAGTCTGGGCTTCTGGGCGTCTCTCGGTGGCCTCCTGAGGCCTCCACAGGCTAACAAGGGACCAACATTACTCAAAAGTCAGTCCCTTCTGCGGGGGCTGTTTTCGTCCGCAATCGTGTCTGTTGGTCCCATGGCCAGAAAGCGGCCGTTCGTACCGACGCTCGGCCTTACGTCTTGGGGAAGGCGCCGCGGACACCACGGCAAACGCCGCCTCGGGCGCGTTGGGCTTGCTGTGGGGTTTGCCACGGTGCCGGCTTCGTCTACCCAAGGCGCGGGACGCAGGGTTTGCCGAGGGTTTGCTGTGCTGCCAGCGTTGTCACCCTGGGCGCGTTCAAGACAAACGGCGCGGCGACATACACATATGCATATACATATACACATACACATATACGTACACATACAAATACACATGCACATACACAAATATATGCATACACATGTGCATATCTATTTAGCTACACATATACATATACATATACATATACATATACATATACATTTGCATATACATTTGCATATACATATACATATACATATACATCAACCAAGCCATATACATACACATTCACATATATACATACATATACATGCACACGCACATGTACATATACATATACATATACATCTACATGTATACATGTGTATGTATCATCTACCTTGGCAGCACCTCGGAGGTCCGGGAAGCCGTCCCAGTGCGCCGAGGTTCATGATCGTCGACCGCATCTGCGAGCGTGAGCAGAACCGCAAGCTGGCCAGGGAGAGCCGTTGGTAGGGAGGGCGGATGCCTGGCCAGGGACGAGGCGGACCCTTTGGAGCGGGGTGAGTAATGATGATGATGATGATGATGATGCTGATGCTGATGATGATGATGATGATGATGATAATGATAATGATAATGATAATGATGACGATGATGATGCTGATGCTGATGCTGATGATGCTGATGCTGATGCTGATGCTGATGGTGATGAGTTATGTCGATGGTGATGATGGTGATGACTTCTGTTGATGAGTACAGCGATTGTGACAATGTTGGCGATGATACGGATGGTGAAGAAGATGATGATGATGATGATGGTGATAATTATTATGATGCTGATGCTGAGTATGATAATGATGATGACGTTGATGATGACGATGATGCTGATGATGGTAATTGTGATGGTGATAGTGATGATGATAGTGATGATGGTGATGGCGATGATGTTGAGGATGATGGTGATGATGGTGAATGTGAGGGTGGAGACGAGGACGAGGACGAAGATGATGATGGCGGTGATGATGGCAATGATGATGATGATGATGATGATGATGATGATGATGACGATGCTGATGCTGATGATGATGCTGACGACGATGGCGATGACGATGATGATGACGATGATGATGATGATGATGGTGATGATGATGGTGTTGATGAGTATTATGATGTTGCGGCTGCTAATGATGCTGATCATGTTTATGATGCTGATACTGATGATGATGATGCTGATGATGATGATAAGGACAATGGTGATGCTGGTGTTGTTGGGGCTGACGCTGATGCTGACGATGATTATGATGGTCATGGTGGTGATGATGATGCTGCAGATCATGATGATGATGCTGATGCTGCTGATGATTATGCTGACGATGATGATGCTGATGATGATGATGATGATGATGATGCTGATGATGCTGCTGGTGATGATGCTGCTGATGATGGTGACGCTGACGCTGACGATGACAATCACGATGATGAGGAGGAGGAGGAGGAGGAGGAGGATAGTTATGCTGATGCTGATGATGACGATGATTATGATGATGATGCTGGTGATGATGCTGCTGATGATGATGACGCTGACGATGACGATGACGATGATGATGAGGAGGAGAAGGAGGATGTTGAGAATTATGCTGATGCTGCTGATGATGATGATGATGATGATGACGACGACGACGATGATGATGATGCTGATGATGATGATGCTGCTGATGATGATGATGATGACGATGATGATGATGATGATGGTGATGATGATGATGATGATGACAATGGTGATGCCGGTGTTGTTGGGGCTGACGCTGATGTTGACGATGATTATGATGGTGATGGTGGTGATGATGATGCTGCAGATCATGATGATGATGCTGATGCTGCTGATGATTATGCTGATGCTGATGCTGATGATGATGATGAGGATGATGATGATGATGCTGATGCTGCTGCTGGTGATGATGCTGCTGATGATGGTGACGCTGACGCTGACGATGACAATGACGATGATGATGATGATGATGATGAGGAGGAGGAGGAGGAGGAGGAGGAGGATAGTTATGCTGATGCTGATGATGACGATGATTATGATGATGATGCTGGTGATGATGCTGCTGATGATGATGACGCTGACGATGACGATGACGATGATGATGATGATGAGGAGGAGGAGGAGGAGGAGGATGTTGATAATTTTGCTGATACTGCTGATGATGATGACGACGATGATGATGATGCTGATGATGATGATGATGATGATAATGATGCTGATGCTGATGCCGCTGATGATGATGATGTTGTTGTTGATGATGATGATGATGATGATGATGATGATGATGATGATGATGCTGATGATGATGATGATGATGATGATGATGATGATGATGCTGATGATGATGGAGCCCCGAAAAGGTTTAGACACCCCGATCCTCGAACCTCGGGGATCGAGGAGGAGGAGGAGAGAATTGAAGCGGAGGGTATGGACTTCGAGCCAGCTGGGGGTCTGAGGTGGCCCAGCACACGTTCCGACCAGCAGGACGTGGGGAAGAGGTTCGGGGTTCTGGGGGTCGGGGATGTTCTTTGCTTTTTTCGGCCTGCAGAGGCAGTTTTTGGGCCGCTGGGTTGTGACAAGTTGATCCCAGGGTAAATTTCCCGGCGAGTGGCCCAACCATATGCAGTTGTCAGTGCCGCGTTGTGATTACCGATTTCGGTGGGGCCCCCTATGGGGCCACGACCCTCGTGAGAGTTTGCTGAAATGGGCGGGGGGACGTATGCTGACCATGCCACTGGGGCTTTTGGTTGAGCTCGCTATTGGGGCCACGATGCTCGTGAGGGGCGTACCGAAATGGGCGAGGGGACGCATGCGGATTCTGCAACTGGGGCCTTCGGTGGGGCTGCCTATGGCGCCACGATCCTCGTGAGAGATGTGCCGAAGTGGGCGGGGGGATGCATGCGGACCCTGCCACTGGGGCCTTCGGTGGAGCTCCCTATGGGGCCACAATGCTCGTGAGGGGTGTGTCGACATGGGCGGGGGGGCGCATGCGGACCCTGCCGCTGCGGCCTTCGGTGGAGCTCCCTATGGGGCTATGCAGCATGCGGTGTGTGTGTGTGTGCCGAACTGGATATTCGGAGAGCAGAGGCAATAATGGGATGAGGGAGGAGGGGGAGGAGGAGTGAGTGAGGAGTGGGTGGACGCCGGGTGCTACCTCTTCAAAACGAGGACCCCACACCACAGGATGGTAGGGAAAAAACGCACCAGACAGATTCGCTATTTGAGGGGTCCGGGACCGATTTTGACCAGATTTGGTTTCATCTCCCCTCCTGACCGCTTTTCTGTGGGCCCAACCAGTTCAGACCCCCTGGCCGTCTCCAAGTCCAGGCCTTCTCTCTCTCTCTCTCTCTCTCTCTCCTGAGGTAGGAGAGAAAAATCGAAAGGGGTGCACCGCCGCGAGAAGCGACGAGCACGACCCATCGACCCCGTCTTTCTGCGGCCTTGCCCCAGCTGCACCTGGCGCAAGCCGCCTCGCCCCTGGCCGCCTCGGAGCTGGTCTCTCTCGCGCGCGCGCGGCTGGGCCTGCCCGCGGGGGTGGTGGGCGACCGGAGCGCAGGTGGCCGGGGGCGCCCGCCCGTGCCCGCGGAGCACTCCGCCGAGGGGGGGCGACGCGCCCCTGGAAACTGGCCGCGAGTTGGCAGCCGCGCGCCGCCTCCGACTGCGCCGAGGGCTACAGCCGGGCCGCGCTTGCGCGGCCGAGCGTGTCGGAGCGGCGGGCAGCCCTGCGGCGTCACCCGTCACCACGGCGGCTGCTTGGGCAGCAGAGGTGGCTTGAGCCACCCTTGAGCCACGCGCAGAGGGGGGAGGGGGGAGGGGGGGGGCTGCTTAGAAGCACCCGTGCTTCTTAGAAGGCGCGGGCCTTCTCTACAGATGTAAGGCCAGCGCCTTCTAATAAGCAGCCTCCTAAGAAGCCCTCCCCCCGCCTTCCACCCCCTTGTGCGCACCGCCAAACCTTGGGCAAGAGCCACTGCGGCCGCTCTCGGAGAAGCTGGGCACGGAGGGCGCCGCGCGCCGCCTGCTGCCGCAGGCAGGGGCCGCGGCAGCCGAGGCCGGAGGAGCTGAGCCGGGAGGGCGCCGCGTTCGGGTCGGCCACAGGGGTCTTTCCTGTATTCGCTTGCGCGCTTGGATTGGTTGCTTCCCCGCGGTCCCCGAAAGCCGCGCACCGCAGGTCACTCCTGCCCACGGTTACTCTGGCGTGTAGGCGATCCGCCTGCCGCAGCCGCCGCTACAGGAGGAGCTGGGCCGAGAAGGCTCTGTACTCCGTCTGCCGCTGCAGCGGCGCGGGATGCAGAGGCCGAGCGGGAGGATGCGGACGAGCCAGAGGTCAAGCCGAACATCGAGCCGAAGATCGAACCGTGCGTGCCAGGGGTGGTAGGGTGGTAACGGTAGCAGGATGCAGGGTGGAGCATTTCAAGCTGTACGACGACAAGTCCATCGACGAAACGGCCATCCAGGTCGAGCACAATGCACTGGACGCGTGGCGGCGCGACCTCATAGCTCCGTTGGCCTGCACTGCGGCGCTGTCCCAGCAGGCGGCGGCGCAGGCGGCGGTGGCGGCGGCGGCGCGGCAGCTGAGCAAGAGTTGACCGGCGGAGAGCACGCGGGAAGAAAAGCACGCGGGAAGAAAAGGGTGGCTCGCCGGTGTTCGGCCTCACAGCCGAGTCTCCGCTTCCTGCGCCCTCGGCCAAGAGGTCGCCGACTCCACCCCCGAGGGCCAGGGCGCGCCCGAGCATCCGCGGGAGAGCGGCACTCGGGGCGGCCAGGAGGAGACCAACGACCGCCACGGCACCGAGGGCTGCAAGGACGATGGGCCCGTGCGGGAGGAGGTCGGCGGCGCGGATCGCGCAGGGCATCCGCTGCCGAGCGCAGCTCCCCCGCAGTCCGCGCGCAGTTTGGCGTACCTCACGGCGCTGGCGGAGGTCACGGCCACGAGTGCGGAAACAGAGGGTGCGAAGACCGAGGGCAGTTCCTGTTCGTTTTGAGCAGGGTTCGCTGTCGGTGTCGCCACGGGCGGTGTCCGTTCGAGACAGAACGCAGTCTGCGCAGCAGCGACCGCTGTCGGTTTGGAATCACGTTTGTCGTCGGAGAGCAGTTCTCGTGGGACGGCGAGGCCGTGGAAACCGTCGCACGGCTGCTAGATAACCCAACGCGGCGACGCCAGCAGTCGGGTGGGGTGCAGCTAGGGGCGGACCGCAGATACTCGGCGGAACCGCTGCTCAGGCGATGCGATGCATATGCCACGGCGGCGCAGTCGCTGTGTGACGAGAAGCAACGCTGGTAGGATAGATCCGTTGACAGGCTCCCCCCCCTCTCCTCGTTCCTTCCTATCCCTTCTCCTCCTGTCTTGAATCGCCACGGCGTCGTGCCGAGGCCGCCTGGCGGGCGCCTGGTTCTGCCACGCTCGGCTGGCGCGTTCCTCCCCCCGCCTTCCCCCGCCCCATCCCCTCTGATCCGCTCATCTCTGGACCGTGTGTGTCCAGCGGTGCGTATCTAGAAACGGTTGTTCTGTAACCCTGGTAATGCCGGGCCCGCCCCCCCCGCCCCAGATAAGCTGACCTTGTCGGTTGCGCACGTCCGAAGAGGGTGCGCAGTACCGGTGCGCGCGGGCACACGTGTGCCCAAAGCGAAAGGGTTAGGCCCTCGGCGGGCACCTCCCCCCGTTCCCCCCCCCTCGGATAACCGGGAGCATCGCCATCAAATAATATAAAGAGCAAAATGTATATCCTGCTGCCAGTATCAGCCACGCGCAGAGGGGGAAGGGGGGAGGGGGGAGAGCTTCTTAGAAGGACCCCTGCTTCTTAGAAGGCGCGGGCCTTCTCTACAGATGTAAGGCCGGCGCCTTCTAAGAAGCAGCCTCCTTCTAGGACGCCCTCCCCCCGCCCTTTACCCCCTTGTGCGCACCGCCAAACCTTGGGCAAGAGCCGCTGCGGCCGCTCTCGGAGAAGCTGGGCATGGAGGGCGCCGCGCGCCGCCTGCCGCCGCAGGCAGGGGCCGCGGCAGCCGAGGCCGGAACCTTCTATGAAGCAGCCTCCTCCTATAGGACGCCCTGCCCCCTCCCTCCACCCCCTCGTGCGCGCCGCCAGCAGTAGGCGGCGGGCCTCTTCCCAGCCTGGAGGGGGCGTGCCGCCCCACCCAGGACAGGCACGACGACGACGACGACGATCGACGGTCGACGACGACGACGACGACGACGACGACGACGACGACGACGACGACGACGACGACGGCGACGACGACGACGACGACGACGACGACGACGACGACGACGACGACGGCGACGACGACGACGACGACGACGGCGGCGACGGCGACGACGACGACGACGACGAATGGGGAGGGGGGCGGCCGCCTGCAGCGGAGAGGGCCGCCCAGCGCAGCGGAGAGGGCCGCCCAGCGCGCGCGGCGCCCCCCCTCCTATTGCTAAGGCCTTACGGCCGGTGCCGCCGACCCTGAAGACGACGACGACTAACTACAAGGAGGAGGAGGAGGAGGAGGAGGAGGAGGAGGAGGAGGAGGAGGAGGAGGAGGGGGATTAAGGTGGAAGGGAGCAGGAGAAGGCGAAGGAGATGTTCCCCATGTGGGCTCCCCCTCCTATATTTAAGTCGGGCGTGTCCCTCTACAGGGGAAATATTCAAAAATAGTCAAGACATAGTGTCGGGCCGATTTTTCTATTATTTGTCAGGGTATTAGTTATTTTTCGTCCAAAATCCGCCTGTAGGGGGACACGCCCGACCTAAATCCTATACCTCTGCCTCGTGGTTCGCCCTTTTCTTGTGCTCTCTCTCTCTCTCTCTCGTTCTGTTTTTTCAGCATTTGCGCCACCGCACCAAGCGCGTACTTCCTCGTGCTCGCACGTCGCGCCCTCCCTCCTCTCTCCGTCTCTCGCGGAGGAGGAGAAACCGCCACAAACATACACGTTTGGCGCTGCGCTCGGATTTCCTGCATCCGCGCTTGGGCCCCCCCCGGTGGCGCCGCCGGCGCCGCCCCCGGCGCGCTCCCCGCGCCTGGGAGGGGGGGTCCAGCGCGGATCCAAGAAGTCCGCGCGGACTGTCGAACGTTTCTGTTCGTGCCGTTTTTCTTCTTCTTCTTCTGTTCTCGCGGTTTGCTGTTTCTTGTGCTCTCTCTCTCTCTCTTCCTCTCTCTCGTTCTGCTTCTCAGCGTTTGCCCCAACGCACCCAACACGTACTTCCTCGTGGTTCGCACGTCGCGCCCACGGGCGCCGCGCCGACCCCGAGTCGGGGCCCAGGCGTCCGCACTGTACATGCACAGTCGTGCGGTTTTGGTTCAGATGCCCTCGCAGTCGTAGGTTTATGGTGTTCCAACCTACTTTAGCCTGAATCACCAGACAGATTTTCGAGCACCTGAAAGAAAGTACCGAAACTCGAGGGTTTTCACGTGGCGGGCCCTGGGAGACACTCGTCCGACATCGTTTCGATACTCTTTCGACACTCTTTCGACACTTTTCCAGGTGCTCAAAATTATGTTTGGGATGTGGTCCTTAAGTACGAGGGGAGCCACATAATTCTAGGTGGCCTTCCAGCCGCTCTCTCGCGCAATTGCTCGTTTCTGCTGCAGCCTCAGACCAGGTTCCTCGGTTCCCGCTGTTGCAGCTTTCTGCGCTCATGGGGCCCACTGCGGCTGAGCTCCAGAAGGGACCTCGTTCGATTTGGGACATCATCTCGACTGCACGCTCCACGAGGCGATCGTTGTGATCTCGTGCTCGCCTCGCCGACTTGCAGCGTCTGGAGGCGCATGCTTCATTTCATCACCCTCATGTGTTTGCGTTGGGCGAGTTCTCGAGCCCGATCGGGCCGCGAGGGCCCTGGGGCGCGAGCCTGGGTTATGAGGCGGGTCATGGTTCTTCGAGGCTCCAGGATCTGATAGCCCCTCTCGGACCGGGCGAAAGGGGGGGATAGCAAAGGGGGGTTTGAGAATCAGCTCACGTAGCTGATTTTCCCGGCGCCTCCCGGCGCCGGGAGACGCCCACGTATCGAGGAATGGGCCCGACGGCGGGGCCGAGACCAGCTGCATGCAGCAGATTTCGTAACCCCCCCTTTCCCTCTATCCCCCCCTTTCGTTCGGCCCGACCCTCCCAACGTCACTTCTTTTGTCGGTCTCCCATCGCTTCTCGCCAGCTTCCTCGCATTTTTCGCGGGTGTGGCGTCCAGTGTCCGCTGGGGCAGCTGGCGTCGCGGCCTGGGGGACGGGCACATACCCTCCACCTCCGGGCGTTCTTGCTGTGTCCGAGGCCCTCAGACCCCTGGAGGCTCCTGGGGCTAAAAAAAGAAAAAATAAAAAACCTCCACCTCCCTCCACGGGCTTCCAACCTGGGCATCTCCCCCAAACGCCAGACGACCCCTTCGCCTCGCGAAAAGTCGTCACGACATGCTGTCTGTTGTTGTCGGCCACTGGGGGCCTTTGCTGGCCCCCTAGGCCGTCAACAGAAAGTGTTCTGGATGAAAGCCGGTCCCACAGAAGGGGTGGAGATTCCCTGGGGTCCACGTTGAGAGGGGTCTGGGGCCACCGGTTTTCTGCCCAATTCCGTCCAATCGACTTCCGTGTCGAGCCCACAGAACCCTGTCAAACGACACGGCCCAGGGTGAAAATCCGGCCCCACGGAAGGGGCTCGGTGTCTTCTGGCCCCTGCAGTGAAACACATTGTGATGGAGGTTCAGGTCTTCGTTTTCGTTTTTCTCACGCCCCAGGAATACAACGAGCAGGGCGAGGCTGATAAGGAGGAGGAGGAGGAGGAGGAGGAGGAGGAGGAGGAGGAGGAGGAGAGGAGCAGCTTGAGTAGCAGGAGCGACCGCAGGAACAGCAGGAGCAGGGGAAGGAGATCAGGAGGGAGTGAAACGAGGAGCAGTAGAAGGGGGAGAAGAGCAGGAGGAAGAAGAGGAGGAGGAGGAGGAGGAGGAGGAGAGAGGAGAGGAGGAAAAAGCGGATCCCCGTGCTTCTCGCGAAGGAGTCGGGCATGACACTCGTGGAGGTGGAAGATCTGCGGCTGGATTACAGGACCGGGACTCACTGTTGCTCTCTGTCGGTTTGGGGGGTCGGGAGCCCCCTGGGGGGATCAGGGTAACGGAGGCGCGGAGTGGGGGCACGGAGGCAGAGGAGCCGAGAGCATAGACTCCTCCTCCTCCTCCTCCTCCTCCTCCTCCTCCCTCCTCCTCCTCTTTCTCCTCTTCCCCCCCCTTTCTTCCCTTCCTTCTCCTCCTCCTCCTCCTCCTCCTCCTCTTCCTCCTGCTCCTCCTCCCCTCCCTCCTCCCCCTCCTCCTCCTCCCGACTGATGCGATGTTGTCGTCTGGGGGCCGTCCAGACGGGAGCCCCGAAGTGGAGTGCGTGGTGTGGGTTGCGTGCCGCAGCAGGCCTGGCATCAGGAGATGGGCCATCCCCTTCCGGCCTACCTGGATAATTGTTCAGCAACCACACATGCCCAATCCGGCTGTGAGTCTACTTGGAGGTCAGGCCGCACACGCATAGCTGTACATGTTCGGACCAGCGGATGCAACACCTGGCGTGCGACCTCGCCTGGAAGGTTGTGAAATGTTCAAAGAGGGATGTTGTCGATGGTGGTGGCGATTGTGATGTGAGTTGGTACGTCTTATCGGTGGCGCAATGTTCGGGTGCCGGTCCTGTAAGATGCACTTCTCAATACGTTTTCTGGTGATGGGTTGGTCTTGCCTTCGCAGCCAGCCTTCAGGTTTCTGGCCAACGACACATCGATGTGTGTCGACCCGCGGGCCCCAGACGTCTCGACCCTTTCCCCCTGCAGGCAGCGTCTCGTCCCCGATGCATGCTGCATAGTCCAGGGGCCCGAGACGGCCTCGAGATGCAGAAGTCCATGTGCGGACACACATACGCATAGGACATCTACAAGCATACTTTCAGGAGGAGAAAAAACACACAGGCACAATTAATCGTCGATTCCCAGGAAAATATGGGAACATATGGGAAGTGGGGGTGAAGACAGAAACCCAGAAAATATGGGACAATATGGGGAATCCTTTTATTTGTGTGTATTTATTTGTGTGTCCTGGGGCCCCTTCATAGTTTGAGCGTTGGCATGGAAAACGCTTGAATTGTAAAAACTGCCTTCGAAGGCCTGGGGTTATCGATCTCGCCACTGCGCTGGCCCTCGCAATGGACGAGGCAGGGGCGCCTGCAACTGGCCCGCAAGAGGCGCGCATTGCGGTGGCACACCAGCGAGGCGCGACGGCGCGTGGCTTGGGTTTCGAGGCAGCCGCCCCTCCAGTGTACGGCGGGGGCGTTCGTTAGGGAATGTGCCCAGGAGGTTTCGGACCCTGGAAGATTTCTTATCCAAGGAGTGCGCTGGGGATCTCCGCGGCCAGATGTTCATTGGCGTTCCACTGGCTTCCGGATTGTGAGTGCCTTCTGTATGAGTCCCTTATTCAATGCCGTCACCGTATTTTTCGATCGTCGAGATTCGATTGCCGGAAATCCGGGCTCTTGTATTTAACCCGGCAAGTCTCTGCGGAGACCCTAGTAGACGTGACCCTGGCGGAGACTTCCGGGAACCCAGACCTCCGACGTCGCGAAGTCTGTCCATGCCGGAGGTGATCCTTCGGTGTTGGCCTTCGGGTAGTCGCAGGAGATCGGCGTTTGGGAGCGAGGGTGCCCCAAAGATGGTCATACTTCTTGCGCGGGCCAGATTGGACTGTCGGGCGGGTTGGCGCTGCGAGTTCTTTATTCGACATTTTGGAGTTGCTTCGGGGCTTGATATTCTCAACTTGCTCCGTTCCGCAGCGCGGTGTTGTGGTGCCAGTGCCGTGCGTTCTGTACACGTGTATCCATCGTGAGTCGTGAGGCGCTCCAGCCCGTGGCTTTCATTATCAGAAGATTGGCCCCATAATTGTAGGTTCGAGAGATATTGGGTGGGTTCGAGCTCTGAGCAGTGACGGAAATGATTGTGGGTACATCTACGTAAATGCAGTTCTGACGTTGATTTCGCCGCCCTGTCGCGAGATGGGAAAGAGCACTTTCTGTGTGCACTGGCAAGGGGGGTGGTTTCAAACCCGCCCTCCCAGGTTTCAGACTCTGAACCCCCCCTGGTCAAATTCAAAGTGGGTTGGACCCCCCCTCACCTTCTCTTTTCCATTGGGGGGGGTCCAGAGACACATACCCCACTCACACCCACCTCCTTTACTCGCTGCTGGCAAACGACGACTGCATGCACCAGCGCTGGAGGAGGAGAGCGACGACGACGTCGGCCACGACGACGACGACGGACGACGGACGACGGAAGACGGATGACGGACGACGACGGACGACGGACGACGGATCACGGACGACGAACGACCAACGACCAACGACCAACGACGAACGACGAACGACGACGACGACGATGGGCGGACGACGACAACGACAAATCGACGACGACGGCGGCGACGACGACGGACGGACGGACGGACGACAACGACGACGATGACAGACGGACGACGACGATGGACGGACGACGACGATGACGACAGAGGATGGACGAGGACGAGGACGAGCACAGGCGCCGGAAGATGATGACAACGACGACGACGACGACCACGACCGACGGACGACGAACGACGAGGACGACGATGACGACAATGAACGACGACGATTGTCGGCAACGGCGGCGACGACGAGGACGGATGTCGACGACAACGGCGTACCATGGACGAGGACGAGGACCAGCCCGATCGTGGCGACGACCACGACGACCGCAACCACAAAAACGACGTCGACGACGATGATGATGATGACGACGACGAACGACGGACGACGGACGACGAACGACGAAGGCCGACGACGACGAACGACGAGCACGATGTCGACGGACCATGACGACGAGCACGATGTCGACGGACCATGACGACGACGACGACGACGACGACGACGGACAACGGACGGGGCGGACGACGGACGACGGACAGCGACGACGGACGACGGACGACGATGACGACGAGGATCACGTCGACGATGACCACGTCGACGATGACGACGACGATGACGACAACGAAACGACGACGGACAACGGGTAACGGCGACGACGACGGCGACGACGACACGACGACAACAACGACGGGGACGTCCGACGACGAAGACGTCATCGACGACGACGACTTGAATGTCCCGCCCATCCGATCTGACTCGCCCGTTAAAGTCCTTCCGCCCGACCCGAACCTCTTTTTACGGCTCTCGTGGGGCAATGTCTTTGTGGGGCACACATGCGTGTCCCGCCCGACCCGACCCGCCCGTTGGGGCCCACCTGCCCGACCTTATCCGCCCGTTCGGGTTCTTGCGTGCCATGTCGAATATGAATGATGCTTTAGTGCCCTTTAATGTCCCTCCTGCCAGACCCGACCCGCCCGTTAGGGACCGCCTGAGTCGACCCGCCCGTCAGGACTCTTGCACGCCTGGCGTTGCACCGCGTCACGCGCGGCGGAATCCGGCGGATGCGGACGGCCCTGGCGGGGGCGTATGCTGCTGCGTCTCATGGTGAGACTCCCGCATGTTCGTGCTGCTCCGAGCCAGCATGCAGTCACAGAGGCCAGCGCGCCGAGTCTTCATCGAAGCTGCATGGGCAACAGCCGTCCAAGGACAGGGGGGGCAGCAGGGCGGGGAGGAGGCGCCGTGCCCCCGTTCGCCTGAACTTCGCAAGAACTGCTGCGCCGGCAGAGAGTTCGGCCACGTCGCCACTTCGCACTCCAACCGTGTTGGCGGTGCCACACCAGTGTAGCGCTGGGCCGCCCCCTCCCTCCGTGAGGAAGGCGTTGATGACCGCGCCGCGCATTGGCCACAGACGGGCGGCCGGGCACGCTCCTATCCTCGTCTCGTCGCGCATGCGCTCGACCCCGGTGGCGGCGACGTCCGGCTTTGTGCTCTGGCGGCTCACGGAGGGCTCTCGGCCGTTGCTGGGTCGAGTCTGATCGAGGTAGCCGCCGATTTCCTTTCTCCTCTTGCGGGAGGCGGAGGAAGACGAGGAGGGTGAGGCCTCTTCGGGCCCTCTTGGCGCGACCGCGTTGGGCCGCGTCGGAGGCCATCTTGAGAATCCTGGATGCGGGCGAATCGCCTTTCTGTTTCGCCCAGGGCCTTTCGGGCTGCTAGCGGTTAAGCCGGAGGCCACTGGGAACTGATTGAAAATGCGAAACAGTGTTCGAAATTTCGACACGCCAAGCACCATTTTGCCAGCAGACGGGAGCGGCGGATCTAGGCCTTGAGCCCATCGCCACCGTGCATGGGTTGTGGGCCAGAGTCCTCTTGGACGCCTTCTGGGGTCATTTGGGTTGCTTCTTGGATGCCTCTTCGACGCCTGGTGGGGCCTGCTGGGTGCCTCTTGGTGCTTCCTGAGAGCCTCGTCTGACCTCTTGCAGGTCTCTGTTTGCCTCTTTGGCGCTTCTTGGAGCTGGCACGATGACTCCCAAGGCCCGTTCGGGTCCCCCCTCAGCTGGGGTTAAGAAATTGTTACAACACGAAATTTGTTAACAGTTCGGTTTCGGAAAAGTCAGACGGCAACCTCCTGACGCGCCCAGAAGTCAGGGCCATGGCCTTTTGAAGAGCATTCAAAATATCCGATACACAGTATCCGAAGGGGCCTGATGACACTCCATTCCATTCAGAGCCGACGGCGCGGTGTTCCGTTGCCGTTTTGACTCAAGCCGCTTCTGCTCAGCCGTCCGGAATGGCGCATTCGAGCGAGCTCTTCCAACGACAACCCTCAGCGACGTATTCGGCGCCGACCAAGGGTTTGAAGAGCAAAGGACATGCCATTGACGGCGGCTTCGTTGGCCGCGGGCTTGGTCGGCAGCTTGCGACAGCCGTCAGTAAAAGGTGTGAAGGCACCGTTGACCTTACCCGTGCTGCAGACGCCAATGGTCGATTGAGCACGGTAGTGAATAACTCTGTAGGCCCAGTGCGTCCTTCACGACGAATCCGACACCGACGGAGGATTCGCAAAGCGAGGGGTATGCCACCAACGACTGCTGCAATGACCATGGGCCTGGTTGGGAGCTTGTGGCGGC